AGGCTCACAATGGACTGAAAGATCATTTTGCTTTTAAGTTCTATCTGTTCAGGATTAACATGACACTAAACAATGAGCAAAGTGTCCAAAAATGTTTCCAGATAAGAAGCAAATTTTTGGCTATATGTCAGCTGTGTGAAGGAACACGCAAACCTGCAGACAGGAACTTCAAAAGCCTGAATAGCTCTCCAATGCTTAGAAGAAATGCAGAGTTTTCAAAATGAAACACATTTTGAAGATCATAATTAATCAGTTGGCTTTGCCTTTGGCAATAATCCAACAGATTTACCCATGTCATCTGGGATGCTGTCATACACCTGCCCAGACTCCCATGTTACTACATTATTCATTGTAGTTTTAAAAATCCTACTCAAATTTGCTTCCAGTGACCACGTTAAAACAAAATACAGACTTTACCACGATATCCAGTTTGCCAAAGACACACATCCCACTAATCACAGGAAATCAACAGTTTTTTTTCCTCTCCATCATTCTGCAGCTTTGTTCTGCTACTTCCATAATTCAGCAATTGACAAACACAAACAATTGACACTGACAATGTCTGTGTTTTATTCCTACTTTGAATTTATCAGGCTTTAACATCCAGGTCTTGGTTCTTGCTGTCCTTGTCATTACCAGATGAAAGAGCTCTGCATATCTAATCAAGTTTACCTCTTGTTGTCTTTGCAGAAATGAATCAATTTCTAGGAATTCCCTCACATCCACAAATCTTTCTTGCCACTAAAGTGATGATTTTTCTTTTTTCCCCACACTCCATGCTTACAGAAAAACGAATAAATGTAATTTTAAAGAAACTAAGGAGTCCTACATCTGGAACATGAGAAGCTTAAGCTTTGCACAATACAAATCAAGTTACAGTTCCTGCTCCAGAGAGATCAAAGACTGAAAAAAGCAGATGTATGGCTGTAGACAGTAGGAAAAAAACCATGAGTGGGGTGCCTCTCTGACCAACCCAGCAACAGTATTAACTTTGAGGCCAATAGTGCCACGTACACAAAGTAACCTTCCAACATCTGTCTACTGTTCCTCAGGACAGAGGTAGCAATGAATTATCTTGTCCAAAAGGTGCCTGCAGCAGCTTTGCTCGTGTTCTCAGGGATTACAGTGGATGTTTTGCAGGAACTCCAAAGTTTACCATAGACATGAAGAGATCATGACTTTTTAAATTAAGAATAGGTTAATTCCAAAATAGAAAAAAAAGAAAAAAAGAAAAAAAAGAAAAAAAAAGAAAAGATCTCCTGCAGAAAAAAGAAGTTTCATTCTCTCTTTCCTGAGGGACTGTGCCACCAAACAGGAGGGGAGGAATATCTGATAAAGTGAGATTTCAATAGCACACAAAAACATAACTCAGATGACTTCACAAGTTATTGACTTTGCATAAGAAGAGTGAGCATATTTAATGTCTCTATACCTGGAATGGAATTTGCTGGTAACGTTTCCAAAGTAACCCTTAAAATTAAAGATCAACACAGCTGTTAGATTTTTTTCCCCCCATTACTGACATCGTTTTCAAAGCTGGCTGAATGGTGTTTACCATGTGGCCTTAAGATCTGCTGAACTTTTGCTACAAGTAAGGGTTATCTGAGAAGTGATTGTTTGGGCAAGATGATAAAGATGTGGATATAAGGAAGAAGGCTTTTTACAGTGAGGGTGGTGAGGGACTGGAACAGATTGCTCAGAGATGAGGCAGAACCTCATCCCTGGAGACATTCAAGGCCAGGCTGGATCAGGCTCTGAGCAACCTGATCTAGTTCTGAGTCCTCCTGTTGACTGCAGGCGAGTTGGACTAGATGAGCTTTAAAGGTCCCTTCAAACTCTAGGGATTCTGTGCCTCTGTGTTTCTATTCTATGCGTATATGTAAGAATGAATCAGCTAAAAAGCTACAATAAAGGAGATTAGACTTTCTTTTTAACTATTTTATTATGCATTAAGGATAGGATTAAAAGTTTGAGATTGCTATTTTTAAATTGCTATCTTTTACAAAATACCTCCTTGGTAAGATAAGTTTTTCAGCTTCCTAACAAACACCTCCTGACTCTTTAAATGCTAGAGTCTCCAGAAGATGAAATAGGAAGAAGAAGCATGAGTGCTAAAAATTCCCTTTTCTAATTTTATTTACTATTTCTGGGGCTTTTCTCTATTTAAATATAAGAGGAGGAGGAGGAGGAGGAGGAGGGTGAAAAGGCAATTCGCTTTCAAGAAAGGGGAAAAAAAATTAAATATGGCATTCAGTTACAAAAATACTGGATTTGCTGAAGCAAAATGAAAAATCAACCCAGGCATGCCCTCAAGTGTATAATGCTGATCATGCAGTGACCAATATGCTTTCAGGGAAAGAACAGAAAAACACCCTACAATGCACACTGTGGATTGTGCTAAGCAGAAAAAAACTTCCAGGCCCTTGCAGCAATCAGTTTACTCCTCGAAGCGTGAGATTTGATGACCTTCATCTCAGCAGGCACAACCACGAGCATTACTATATACCTACTAAATACCCAGCACGTTCTATTTGACAAAAGAGACAGTGATGCCCATTTCAATTCTGCAGCCGGGGCAATAATTGCAATAAAATCTATAGCAAGAACATACGTGAACAGCATAAAAGGAGTTATAAGGCACTGGCATTCAGATCTTTTCTTCTGATGAAAAATGTCCTATAAACGAATCAAGTCGAACAGAAGCCCGTGAAAATTAAATTCTCCACAATAAGAAAGCAGAAATACCCAGAGAAGATGTTATCTGACAGAATCTTTAGAACAATACACATCTCTGACATGTGCCATAGACCCCTGTGGTCTGTCAAAGTCTGAGTGCAGATTTGTCCAGAATCCCCTAAACACTGCCCATCAAAACAATCACATGGGAACATAAGCAGCTCAACATCTGCGTCCTGCTCAAAAAATACAGCAAACGTACTCAGTCTGACTTGCCTTAACTACAGAATAACTCCAGGCATGCAATGATATTGGCTTATAAGCATCTTCAGACTGTGACAGCACTGAGGACAGCTGCCTGTCGGCACACATCACTGATCCACTGCTCATCCATCAGCTAAAATCTGGTGATTTTTTTGTTATTATTTAACTACAGCATTACTGTCTGCCTATAAAACCAAGTGTCTGTTGAGAAGACGTTCTTCTCTGAAGCATATATGTCATGATGGAGGTTATCTTAGTTTTCATAGCTACTAAGGGGGAAATACAAATGGGCTGCTCCTGGCAAATTTGTCAGTGCATCAGAGTTGTGGAGTGTCAAAGAACCTTACCCTGTAGGAGGGGGATGAGAACAAATGCTGGAGTGAGAATGTGACTGTCTGATGTCAGCTTTAATGCTCTGCTAGGATGGATGCAGTGCTTGAAAGGACCAAAAATAATGGTAAAATGTCTTCCTGCTGCCTCAAGGTATTTAATGCAATGGAGTAAAGGCAATATAATCAGCATTAAAGTGCTCTTCATAAATAATGGACAGTCTAGCAGCTTTTATCTACTCTGCACTTCAAGGAAGTTTTTACTGTTGAATATTTCATGAGTAAAAGGTAATTTATTGTAGCTTTTAAATTATAGACTTCAGAAACTATTAGAAACAAGTTCTATATCCCTGTACAATAACGACCAGTTATGAATTTCTAAAGAAACAGTGGCAGCTTTAAATGCATATTCTGAAACATAACACTTATGAACTAGCAGAGACACCTCAGCCCAAGACTGTAGCTGATGATTTTTGAGACGTCCAATTCTATTCATCAGTACAGTATTTATTTGCAAACACCTGAATGTATATTTTCCTAACACGTCAGTTCTAGTTTGCACTTCTCAACAAAATATACTCCTGATCACAGGTCACTTAGGATGCACACCTGTGGTAGTAATTTTCAAAAAATCTGTTTCCTGTATATCATGGTAAAAGTGTGCTTTATCACAGCCTTTGGAAGTTACAGGTAGAATTCCACATAAACAAAAGCAATGAGGAAGTGTACTGGTGAACAGGAGAATCATCAAGATGAATTAGAAGTAACCTCAGCTCCCTCCCCTGTGAATATAAAGCTATGACGCAACCTTGCTGCCACATACAGAAACAGACGATCTGGAGATCAGTGAGACTTCACAGAAACCACTGGTGCTACAGCTGGTTGCTATCAACAGCAGCACCAGTGCATTTCTCAACATCAAACCTGCCTGTACTAATTCACAGAGCTACGAAAAGGCACCACCACAGGAACTTGCTGCAAACAAACACATTGTCATCATCCACTGACTTGCAGCTTAAGCAACACCAAAGGAAATGGCACTAAGGCATTTAAAAGCAAACTCCCTCAGCCAGAGCACGAGCTATTCCTGGGAAAACTTTTAGTTTTTCTTCTACCCTCACGTTTTCAAACTGTACAGTTACTCTAAATAAAGATACAATTTTCTTTCTGAAATTAAGGTAGCAAGAATGACTTTCATATTCTCTTTATACAATAACTGAACCCCCAACTCAAAAGTCTGAGAACAAAGAGGTTAGAACACAAATACTTGTATCTCCAGAAGTTAGAAACTCGTTCCTTCTGTATTAAAATACAGTATTTCATTTCACAGTGTTAGAATAAATGACACAGAGTAGATAAGCAATCTCAAAATGAACGATTGTTCTATTCATAAACCAACCCAAAGATAAACCCATGGAATGGTAAGAGAAAGAAGTCTCCTCCACTGAGGTTAACCAAGCCACTGGGTGGGACATGAACTGATCACTCTGAAAATTATGCCACTGCCCTGTTTCACTCAGAGGAAATCCAAAGATAGGATGCCCCTTTCCCATACTCCACTCCCATTCCTGGAATGTCTGCAAATCAGTATGATACATGGAAAAACAGGTGCGGTCATTTTGAACGTTAGTGTTCAATATATAAGCATACTGAGAAGAATTAAATAACTGTTTCATGTACCACTGAACTCACTCCGTGATTCTTAGAGGTCAAACAAACGGGCCAACTTACGTAGCTCTCCTACTTTCAGTATTTCACACAGCATCTTTGTGAGCTCAATGCTACTTCGGCCAAACGGGCACTCATGCTTGTCTTCTCGACTACTGTTCTCCAGGACAATCTGAAGTAGGAATCAAAATGGAAAATAATCAGTATGAAGAATCCATCCGCTGAAGCACTGGCCTCCACATCCAACATTTACAAAACATTTACCAGGATGCATTTAGTAAATTTTTCTTACGCTTCCATCTTTTCCCCAGCTAACTGCTAACTGGCAGAACTGAGTTAAGGCAAAAAAAAAAAAGTCTTAAAGGAGAAATGTTGCCTCCCTGTGCCCAAAGCTGCAATACAGAAGCAGTGCCATTCCAGGGCTGATTCAGATGCTTTGCCATTCCTATGCAACACTGTTGTTCTACTCCAGCAGAATGAATTGCAGCAGAAACCAAAGAGAAGGAAAAAAAGAGAGAAATAACTTCATATCAAATGTGCAGGTTAAAGGAAATGAGATAAAATGATTTAGAGTCATGAATACACCTAGAAGGAACTATAAATAACAGAAGATGCATAGCTGGATCCAGACTCACAAAAGATCCAAGTGACAAAAATCATGCTCAAGCCATCGTGCTCAGTTTCTCTGTTACAGAAGAAACTTGCACTTGTGTGCAAATTGTTTCAGCAAACTATCACTCTTGCATCAAGCAATGAATGCAGCAAAAACAATTCAAGGAAAGTATTTGTATTCCCAGTTGAATGATAGTGCAAAGGAAATGGGAAAAAAAAAATAACTACTTGGGCATTTTTGCACCATTAAGTTCTGTTCTATCAGTTCTCATTCAGAATAAATCCTTCCTCTGCACTACAACTAGAACAGAGGTTACATGGTGGGTGAAAGATGAGTTATGAAAATAATACAGATTTCATGAAGGTGTGAACCTGAAAAGAAAGTAAAATAGGGGCTGGAGAAAAAAAAAAATCAAAACAGATTTGCAATAAGAATTGTCATTGCAATAACAAACTCTGCTACTGGCTTCAAAAGAGGAAAAAAATACAACCTAAACAGCTGCTGCACAGCTTGGGAGTGAGGGAGAGAGAAAAAAAGAATTTCAGAGGTAAGATATATTGCCAAGCACCAAAGAACCTCAGAAGCTCTCTAAATTTTATTTGCAACCGAGTGTTTAGACATTGTTCTCTGATTTGCATTCCTCCTGTCTCCTTAGCTCCTATTTTTATGTAATTATTTTTTAGTCTTTCAAGTCTGTCAGCAAGGAAGGCTTCCCAAAAAGGTAAAACAACTCTGCTTCCCAGCGTGACGGCTGTGCTCCTCTCCAGGAATCCTGGAGCCCCTACTAAATCCTGATTTGTAAAAGGCTCCAAGGCTGGAACTTTGCCCAAAAACAACCTGGTGGTGGAAAGCAGGTGTGATGCATCACTGGATGCCAGCAAAACCTTTCCCATTCCCCCAGGTCTCAGCAGTGACTTCACATATCCATGCCCTCTCATGAGCATAAGCCTTTGCCATCAGGAAATTAGTAAAAGTATGGAAAAGAAAGAAAGCCAAATCCAGGTAGGAAAGCTATTTGCTTCACACGGCATGCCCAAATCTCCTCATGCAAAAGTATCTATTTTAGTCTTTCTGTACAAAGGGCAACTTCTTGCTGTTACTCTGCTTCTAAAACACCCTCAGGGATGTAAAAAGAATGTTGTTCTTTGTGTTGTGAGAGTAATTGCTTTGCTTTGTTTTCCAGTGTTCTTTGTCTATTTACCACCTAGACTTCCCACCAGAAGCTGAGAAAGTTACTTGGGATTTCGCAAACATTTGACCCTGCCAATTTTTGCTAGACTTTCCCAGCAGGGTGGCGTCACACTCAGATTCACCACTCTGCCAAGAAGGCCTACTTTTCCTTGTCAAATCTTTGGCTCAAATGAAATCTGATTGTTCCACGTCACATCTGGGCAACAGCGGTATCAAAGCAAAGAAACACCCCCGCGATTTTCATTTCACATTGCAGCAGCCACTGTTGAAGCAACGTGCGAATATGACTTTTCATTCGGGATGAGTCACCCTGCTTCAGTCTCTTCCATGGAGGTCAGAGCTACATTTCCAAACCTGAAGGCAGGAGCAGCGACAGACTGGCACACGCGCAGTGCAACACCTCCCTGGGATCACGTCTCCTCTTTTATTATTATGCATTTTATCTCTCACATAATAAAACATAAAATCTGCATACTGGAGCAGGGGGCTGCTTTGACATAGATTTAGATACAACAGAGAAACACTGGTAATAAAATCAGTGAAGAGGCAAAATGAAAGGGGAAGGAGGAGGGGAAGGGAAGCACTCAGATCAGCAAGCCTGCTGGCTTCTGGCAAATGCATTTTGTTGAGTTTCACATTAACTCGACACATTAACATTTCATGAGCACATAAATATTTAATGGTGACACCATATATGCATATAATGTAAAGCAGAATTACAGCAATCAATAAGAATGCCAGAGAAATAGTTAAGGAACTGCATATTGCAATACAGCAAATTAAATGGCAATTTGAGTATGTAAAGCAGCTTTGAAATGATTCTCACTCACAGACTCTGCAAGTATCATCTTTTAGAATTTGTTTCTGCAAAACAAAGCAGAGCTGACATATTACATTTCTGCAGGAAAGGAAGATGGAATGCCCTTTACTACATCTAAATATCTGTAGGTAAATTTGACAGATATGGATCTTCCGTTAAGCAAGAGCAATGGTAAAAGGGGGGCTGGGAAGGGAGAGCTTCTTCATACACATACCTAAGAAAAAAGCATTTCTAATCTTGGCAACAGATTTACAACACTCATTAGGATATTTGTAATACTCTTTTCACGACTTTCACGACTCATATCCTGTTCCAAAGTAAAATGCTATAAATATAGCCAGTAATTGCGTGATTTTATTCTTACTTCCTTTATCAATCTGGAGGAGAAACAAGCAGGGAATAGACAGGTTTTCTCCATATACTGGGGGAAATTTGTAGTAGGGAAAAACATAACAGAGCTCTAGACTGAAAATACGTGTGAATCAAGTCATCAGTACACATTTGTATCACAGAAAAGTAGTGTGGGATTCACCAAACCCAAATAGCCTTCATTCAAACGGAGGCCTATCATTTATACTCACAAAGTGCCCATACTCTATTATCTTTGTCCTTTTTCCCACCTCACAAATCCAGCACAGGGAGCTGTAGATCTACCAGAGACTTCACAGTGGGCAGGTACAATTGCTAGATTTTGCTTTGGGGGAAACAAATCCTTAAAGGCAGAAACCATGGACATTGCAGAAGAACTCCTGGCACCTGACCATCTTCCCTCAGTGCTCCCTTGACTCTGGTCTGTTTGGCAGCATTTACTTTGTTATTAGGCATCTACTTCTGCCAGCTTCCTTGCCTTCTTCCTTGAGAAGAAGCAACATGGAAATATGACTTTTAATATACTAGATGTTACACAGACAAAATCCCAAACCCTCTTACAATTCATGAGTACTAAATCTTGAGGGTCATCTTCACTTTCTCCATTCCTTTAAGCTATACTGCCTTTTACAAGGCAAAGCAGAAAATAAATATGTGTAACAGGCAAAAAAAAAAAAAAAGAAAAAATATTATTAGGGAACAATAACAACAATAAAAATCCAGTCAAGAATCTCAAGAAAAGGAAAAGGGAGAAATATTACCCAAAGAGAGCAGCCAAGGAAAGTCTGAGTGAGGAAATGATATGAAGGTAGGACATGAGAAAGACTTGGAGGAACAAAGTGAATGAAATAATTTACAAACAAACAAAAAAAACCAACCAAACAGAAATATGCAAGTCAAGAATGACGTGTGATATATAGAATGAGAACAGAGAATAAAGTTACACAGCAAGAAGAATGAGATGTGTTGAATAGCAGAAAGCAAAAAAAGATGATAATTATTATTATTTTTTTAATGTAAGGAGCTGAAATTTTAAAGGAAAGCCAGTGGTACCCACATACTTGGTATTTCTACAATTGAAACTCTGTATGCAGTTAAGGCATGGGAATTTGAAAAAAGCTGTAGTAGAACACAAGTCTGTACAGTTCTTAGTATTTTTAGGTTACTACCTTTGCACTTCTCCTCTCATTTACAACATCCTGTTGCAAGCGGAAAGGAATCATTTCCCAAGGAGAAGAAATTATTAACAACTAAACAAAAAACATAACACACACAAAAATAACAACAAAGTGATCAGAAAGAGAAAAGAAGGCTTAGTGCTGTCTCCAAGGTAGACATTTCAGGCAGTGCTGGTTAGCAGCTGCTGACAGCTGAACTTCTTCTGGGATTTCGCCATCTGAATTACCCTGAAGTACCTCGTTTCCTTTGAAGCCGAAAGTGGAAGGCAGTCTTTCAGCATCCAATAGTCAAACAAAAAACATTTAGGAAGATGAGGAGTATTCCTCCTTACGGAATATGTTCGACTCATTTTTAAAATGCAGGTTTTTTGTGCTTCCCCTTGTATTATAATTACTGGTGCTCAGCATCACTGAGGGAAAGCTTATCAGTCTATACAAGGTACACGCTAGTGACGTGTCAACAGTAAAAATAAATTCAAGTGCCATGCCAACATCACAGAAGAATAATGCAAAATCTCCAGTAACAGAAAGAAACACAATCAGAAGTTTTTCTCACTTTACAGCAGAAAGCTTCACATTGTTTCTTTATGATCTTCCATTGAATTATTCATCGAGTCCATCACTTCCTTGGGAGCACAAAACAGATTCCTCAAGGAGGCAATGGACTAAATGAAGAATTTTCCATATTTGACTGTCATGAACTTAAAAATCTGCATCACCTTCAATAATGAAGTTTATGCTTGCAACTAAGAGTTAATGCCTGATGAAAAAGTTTTAAAGAAAGGTATAGCAGTCAAAAGCTTCCTTATCAGAATTCAGGAAGATGAAGCCACCAAGCATAAATATTGCTCCTTTACAGGGAATATCAGCTTAGCCAACCCCTTAATCTCTCACATTACAGATGAAAATGACTCAGAATACACTGCCCACAGCAACTGCAGAATACTTAGATTCCTGAATCAACCTCAGAGCCTGGCAATAGAATAGAGATTCATTATGAC